CGCAGTGCGCAGGCGCGCCCCCGCAGCAGCCTGGGAAATGTAGTTCCGCGCTGGGGGTCTGCGAGGGCCTGACCGCCAGAGACTGGGGCTCGTGGGGGAACCCTAGATTGATGCCAGCCGAAGACAACCCTGCTTAGGCTCCTGTCCAGCGGCGTGACCTCGAGGTCATCCCAGTCCCCGCTGCCTCAGTCTCCCCACTTGTTCACCCGCACACCTTCTCCGTGGTGGCTCCAGCCCGCAGCCCGCCTGCCCCGCTCCACCTGGCCCTTGGCCACCTACACGCGATGCATTTTACTGAGGAGCCGGGTCTTTATCCACACAGGGGTCTGGCCCCTAAACCTCTTCCCCTCCAGTTGGCGCAGCTCGACTTCTATGCCTCCCTCAGAGCCCCAGACTCGACCTCCTCCAGAGACCCTCCACCAGCTGGCAGCCCACGGGGCTGGGGGTATTGTTATCCGCAGGTAGCGCAGGGCCCTCACTGGATCCGGGAGGGTTGGATCAGACACAGGCAACAGATGGACAAGGAAAGTGGTCCTGCCGCAGGTCCAAGCTGAGGGGCGGGGGGCAGTCAGACGGCTTGTCCCGGCGCACGTCTGCCCTCGCACGGAACAGTTACACCTTGCAGAGCAAAGCCAGCTGGTAGCCAAGTGTAGATCTAGTTGACCTGAAAGAGGACAAAGTGGGAGAGAAGACAGGACACTCACGCAGATTTATCGACCCTGCCACACAGGGCTTCCCGGGCCCCTGGAGCTGGAGGCGGGGCCTTGCAGCTGCTCCCGGGAGGACGCTGCTCTTGATTTCAGAGGGTCCCCCAATTCAGGCTGTTTCCGTTCTGTCTCCTACCAACATGAAAGGGTCTGGGGCTTAATCCTAGTATCACCCCTCCCGGGAGAGGAGTGGGGAGGTTGGAGGCTGAGCGAGGGTGTGCAGGGGCTGGGGACAGGGCCACTGTCGGCCTCCCTGTGGTTGACAGGATGGATTCTGTGGAAGTGGCAGGTCTCGCAGCTCTGAGTGAGAGAGGAGGTCACTTCACTTGTGATTGAGGTGAGATATTGAGGTCTCTGGGTCAGCTGCCTGCTTAGGGGACACTCATGACTAAGGGGAGGGTGGCAGGGCCCTGGGCACAGTGAATTCCCACCTGCAAGGACCCAGTCATGAGCAGCCGGCCCTCCAGCGGGGCAGCCTGCCTGCTGCTAGTGGGAGACGTCGCCTGGCACGTGAAGCTGGGGTTCATTCCCAGCGCCCAGAAACAAGAGAAGAGAACAAGTGGGAGAAATCCATTCCTCTAGACCTCAAAAGGAAGACATTCTGGGCCACAGCAATTGAGACAGAAACCCCTCTGTTACTTGCCACTCTGGCCTCTGCCTTGCCCCTCCTCCACCTGTATCACTCTGACCTGACCGCCAGCGACCACACTGTGCCCCCCCCCCTCAGGTCTAGGCTCCGAACCTGCCCCCAGGCTCCCTAGGGTTGGACAGCAGGCGCCTGTGCACACTGCAGGCCCACAGAGCCCTGGCCTCTCTTCTATCCTGCAGGGAGCCACAGGCCTGAGCATGCAGGTCAGGCTGGACAGTGAGGTGACCCTGCCTCACCTGGTGACCCAGGTCGGGGTCTGGGAATGGCTCTGAGTGGCATGGACCAAGGAGAAGGACATCTTGTGCCAGCTGTTCCTTACCAGCAGCAGCCTCAACTGGGGGACCTCACCCTGGGGCCAGCCCACGGGGGCTCCAAGGAAGGCAGGGACCATGTGTGCTGGGCGACCATGGAGGGCCCTGGGCTGGCCCAGGGGAGGGCACCTCCTGCAGCTCCTGGCAGACGCAGATGTGAGAGCCGCAGAGGGGAAGATTCTGGACACTGGGACTCTTGACTCTCAAACATCAACCCTGAATTCCTCACCTGGGACTCAGGTCGGACATCCTGCAAAGGAGAGGACACCCCAGATAAATAGATAAAGATCTATTTAAAAAAAAAAAAACTTTATTTAAAAACACAGCTTGTAGGCTGAACTTGGCCCCAGCTGGAAGTTTTCTGATTCCTGCTCAGAACTTCACAATCATAAGGCTCTTGGAAACATGTGATTCTGGAGTTTTGATCAAAATAATTCCAGAATCTTAAAGTGTTGTTAAAACATATTCCACCTGCAACGAAAGGCACACATCCAGAATATACAGCTGACCCAGGCATCTACCACCACTCAGCTAGAAATCACAAATTCCAGAGCCCTTGGGGTCCCCCATCACCTCCCGAGAGCTGCTACCCTATCCCTGGCACTGTCCTGACTGCTCAGAGCATGAATCTCTTCTGCCTGGGGTTTGTTTCACTTAAATGCATCCATGGAGTGTCCTCTTGTGTCTGGCTTTTTGCACTCAACACGACATCGGAGGAATTCACCTGTAGTGATACACCTGGTGGTGGCTCCTTTTTCCTTGCTGTAGGGCCACATGTGACCACATTGTCATGGAACTCAATTTCTTCTGGTTTCTGGCTATTATGGGTAGCCAGAGCCACATCCCCAGCCCTATTTTGTATTTTATTTAGAGACAGGGTCTCACTGACTCGCTTAGCGCCTCACTTTTGCAGAGGCTGACTTTGAACTTGAGATCTTCCTGTTTCAGCCTCCCCAGCTGTTGGGATTACAGGCGTGTGCCACCGTGCCTGGCTGGGCTGCTTGTCTTTTGGTGAAGATTTGTAGACATTTCTGTACCTAGGACAATTCCAGAATCTCAAACTACAGAATAGAATCTTGCAGTTCTAGAATCATAGGGACAGAAAGTTCTAGGCACTTTGATTTATTTATTTATTTATTATTTTTTTTTTTTTAAAGAGAAAGTGAGAGAGGGGGACAGAGAGAGAGAGAGAGAGAGAGAGAGAGAGAATTTTAACATTTATTTATTTTTTCTTAGTTCTCGGCGGACACAACATCTTTGTTGGTATGTGGTGCTGCTGAGGATCGAACCCGGGCCGCACGCATGCTAGGCGAGCGCGCTACCGCTTGAGCCACATCCCAGCCCCCTAGGCACTTTGATTTAAAGCATGTGTTGTCTCTAAGGAGTTGGATGTTGGTCTTACTGACAAATCCAGATTTTTCTTTTAAAAAAGGTTTTCGTAGCTTAGTGTGGTGGCATATACCTGTAATAACAGCGGCTCAGAAGGCTGAAGCAGGAGGATCGTGAGTTCAAAGCAGCCTCAGCAAAACCAAGGTGCTAAGTAACTCAGTGAGACCCTGTCTCTAAATAAAATAAAATACAAAACAGGGGGGCTAGGGCTATAGCTCAGTTGGTAGAGTGCTTGCCTTGCATGTACAAAGCCCTGGGTTCAATCCCAGCACCACCAAGAATAAATAAAATACAAAATAGGGCTGGGGATGTGGCTCAGTGGTCAAGTGCCCCTGAATTCAATTCCTGGTAAAAAAAAAAAAAAAAGAATTTTTTTTTCTGGTGTTGCGGGTGAACTCCAGCCCTCTTGCATGCTAAGTAGGTGCTCTGCCCCAGCCCTTTTTATATTTATATTTAGAGACAAGGTTTCACTGAGCTGTTTAGCACCTCACTGTTGCTGAGGCTGGCTCTGAACTTGTGATCCTCCTGCCTCAGCCTCCTAAGCCACTAGGATTACAGGCGTGACCATGTGCCTGGTTCTTTGTGTCCTCTTTTTACATGTAAAGCTTAGATGCAGGTACAGAACACAAGTAGATTTATAAGATACCCAAAAGGAATAAAATTTCATAGGGGAACTAATTAAGATTTTTTAAAAAACATCTAAAACATCTCCTTTCCTTATTAGTAATGAAAACGAGAGTGAGAAAGCCCCAAGATAAAGAACTGAACCATTCTAGAATCTTAGACTTGCACGCACTACCTTAAGCATCAGACTCCGTGTGGTACAGTCTTAGGGTGCAAAGGAGCAGAGAACCCAGAATCCACAACTGAAAGCCATCAATGCTCAAAGCTGGCAGGAACTTTCCAGATCAGCAAAACCAGCGGCTCCCTTTTACCGATGAGGAGGCTGAGGCCCAGAGGGAGCCCAGAGGTGTTCCAGATGTGTCCAGGGACCTCTGAAACAGGGAAGTGGCCAGTTTCCTGGATCCCAGCTCACATGACTCCACCCCACCATGACACTGTCTCTGGGGACAGACCCTGTGCAGGGCGAGACCCAGCCCATGCCACCTGGCTTCTGCCCCCTCGGTGGCTCCTGCCCTCTGTGGTTGCCCCCAGCCTGGGCACCTGCTCAGCACCCAGCAGCTGAGTTAGCACTTCTGGCTTGGCCCCAAGAGAAACCTTTCCTCTTCAGCTGGCGAGGGTGGGTGTTGTGGCTGAGTGGCATGTCCCCACCCCTGCACTGTCAAGGGGGCCAATTAGCAATTAGCAGAAGTGAGTCAAAGGCTCCAGGTGGTGCCTTGGCAGCTGCAAGGGACCCCACCCAGCTGCACACAGCTGGCTTCTTCATCTGGGAACAGAGGCTTGGCAGCACCCAGGGACCACCTGCGCACCTCAGCACCTGCGAGAGGAGCAGGCTGGGGTGCAGGACCTTATCGGCCCCAGCATCCAGAGCTTCTGGCTGGGTTTATGTCAGGTACACAGACCTGGATTCAGACTCTACTTTTTTCATTGACAGGCTGCGTGACCTTGGACAAGTAACTTGATATCTCTGTCCCTGTTCAGCTGTCAAAATACAGCGGATCTGCGTTTCCTAGCTAGAGTGGGTGAACTGAGAGTGGTTGCATCTATTAGTATGGGTCTGGGACATAGTAAGCCCTCAATAAACATAAGGTAGTATCATGTCTATGATGCTAATTCAGCAAGACGCAGGTTCAGATTGGTGAAAACATGTTTTTCTCTGAAACAGGGAAGGGGGGACAGAGGTGAGGAAGGCCTTTGTTCAAAGCAGGTCCCTGTTGCTACCTGGGTGTGGGATCCCTGGCAATGACTTAGGCGCTCTGAGCCTCAGTTTCCCATCTGTAAATGGGTTTGGCCAGAGTAGCAACTCAAACAGCAGGGGCCAGGAGTGTGATGGTGTCATGGGAAAGTGACCACGCTGGGTGAGGGTGATGGCCAAGGAGGGGGGTGGAGTTCAGGGGAGCCGGAGCCTGTCCTGGGGCAACAGGGCTCACAATGAGGACCCTGTCCTGGGGCGACAGGGCTCACAATAAGCCCCCAGTGGTCAGTTGTTCCAGTGACCCAACAAGACAGGTAAGAAGCCGAGGTTCCCAGGGAACACCTGCCTAAATTCAGCCCCACATGGGGTGACAGGGATCTATAACCCCCAGCGCGCCCCTCCCCGGCCAGCCCAGGTCCCCGCGCTCCGCGGCGCGCCCTCCCCCAATCTCCTCTGGGCACTGCTGGTGGCGGGGCGCCGAGCGCAGCTGTGCCGTGGCGCTGGGCGCGGGGATCCCTGGTCTCTGTCGCCGCCCCAGCAGCAGGCGGGACTCAGGGGAGAGAGCAGGGACCGGGCGGGGTGGCCGGGTGCCCGCTGGAGATGGCCTCTGCCTGGCCAGGGGCCTGCGGTGGAGCTGGAGAAGGCTGGCCGCACACCTGCCTGCCTCAGAGACCCGGCTCCAGAGGGGGGCCGCGGAGGGACGCCTCCCCTGAGCGGCTGTCACCCTGGATTTGTGTCACCTCCCCTGAGGAAGTCCACTCCGCTGCCCAGCCCAGGCCCCCCATCCCACATCGGGGTCTCTCCTGGCCCAGGCCCCACTGAAAGGCTGGCAAAGAGGATCCTGGGAAGTCAGAAGAGGAATCTAGACCCCTGGAGACCCAAAGGGGACCGGCCAAGGACCACATGGGCGACTACTGCTTCCACAGGAGGAGGGGACGCCGACAGCCCACTCCTCAGGAGACTCAGAGGAGCCCCCGCGGCCCAGGGACATTCAACAGAGGATCCTGCAGAAAGCAAAGCTGCAGCTCATGGCGAATTGGGCGCTCAGAACACTCCAGTGGTCATCGGGGTGTTCCAGAGCCCCACGGAGGGCTGCAGAGGCTGTGCCCAGGCACTCTGTGACAATGGTGGGGACTTGGCCAAGGAGCAGGGAAGCGTTGCCCGTCCTGCTAGCCGTGTCCAGCGCTGGAAGACCCCTCCCTGCCCATCTGGTCCCTCCCCTGCATGGGCTCCCTGGTGTTTACCAGCCAGCAGGTCTCTAGTCCCATTGTCACCTTGAAGTGACACCAGCTGCGCCTGCTCCCCTCCCCCACTTCTGCTGTTTCCATGGGGACAGATGTCCTTTCTGCTGATCTGGCCCAGCTGCCAAAGAATGAGGAGGAGCCCCAGCCTCAACCCTCTCTCCACCATCCTATCTGAGGGTCCTGCCCCCACCCCGGGTTTTCCTGCCTCCAGACCTCCCCCTGAGACTCGTTCCGACCCGCCTTGGGCCCCAAAACAAAGAGCTGGGGAGGCTCTTGCCCCTCTCAGGCCTCTCTCCTAGTCCTCCAAGGGGCCAGTGCCTCTGCAGCTCACTGGACACCCCTGGGGCCAATTCAGGCTGCCATGGCCGCCCCGTAGCTCTCTCTGCCATCCCCACCTCCCTGCGGCCCAGAAAGGACACACGCAGGACAAAGACAGCAGCTTCTTTATTGCTGGGCCAGGGGAGGGCTTTTAGACACCATCTGGGCCCAGGAACACAGCGGGACCCGGAAGGCGGGCGGGGAGGGGATCCCTGTGTCCATCCCTTCCCCAGTCCTCCTCCTCCGCTGAGCGGCAGGACCTGGGGCCCTCTCAGGACTCAAGGTCTCTGCGTGGTGACAGGGTGGTGACAGGGTACAGCAGAGCCAGGTGCTCGGCTCCCTGCACGGGCAGCGGGTGAGTGCTGTAGTGCAGGACCAGCTGGGGCACGCTGGCGAAGGGCCCGCTGTGCTGCCCCAGCACCACCTGGTTCTCTCGGGTCCACGTGAACTTCAGATGCAGGAAGCCCTGGCTGCTCCTGGGGGTCCGGGGGCAAAGGTGGCCCTGAGCTCCCCAGACCCACCCACACTCTCCCCCCCCCAGTTGGCAGGGTGGGTGCTGGCTCCCCAGGCGCCTCTGAAAAGCCAGGGTCTGGTGGCCAGTGGTCAGCCCCCACCCACAGGCAGGACGGCCTTGGCAGGCTTGTCCTGCAGACCTGAGGTCCTCCTGGAGCAGGGCTGGCTTGCAGGCCCAGCGCTCACCTGGGTCTGAGAGGAGCAGGTGCCCTCTGCGGGAGCTCCCTTCCTCCCCTCCAAGCCCTGCCTGGGGGACTCCCAGAGATGCTGGCCCTGTGGCACAGGTGCCCGGCACATTCACACCACACTCCGCTGTGGCCAGGCGAAGGGAGCCTTTCCCTTCCAGAATTCCTCCCACTCAGCTGGTGTCGCCTTTCAGAGACACCCTCAGCCCCCCGCCCTGTGACTTCCCAGGGTCTCACATTGCTCTTAGCCCTTATCTCAGAGACTATCTTGTCTCAGCACCTAGAACAGGGCCAGGAACATAGGAGATGCTCAATTAATGTTCATTCAATGAAGGGACCAACCCTAATGGTGGGGGCTCTAAGACCCCTCTTGGCTCACTCCTAGCACCCCTAGACTTGGTCCCTTCTCTCTCCAAACTTCCAAACTTTCTTTTTTTGGTGTGGGGGCACAGGACCTGGGGATTGAACTCAGGGGAACTAGACCACTGAGTCACATCCCAGCCCTTTTTATATTTTATTATTTTTTATTTTTTGTAGTTGTACATGGACAGAATGCCTTTATTTTATTTGTTAATTTTTAATGTGGTGCTGAGGATCGAACCCAGTGCCTCACTCGTGCTAGGCAGGTGCTTTGCCACTGAGCTACAGCCTCAACCCCTTTTTATATTTTATTTAGAGACAGGGTCTCACTGAGATCCTTAGCTTCTTGCTATTGCTGGGGCTGGCTTTCAACTTGTGATCCTCCTGCCTCAGCCTCCCAAGCTGCTGGGATGACAGGCGTGCATCACTGTGACAGGCTCTCCAAACTTTCTGATCCCCCCAACTACTCCCTCCTGGGTACCACGTGGCCCGCAGGTTTGGGGGTGAGGGGTAGTGGCCCTAGAACCCTGAATCACTTTATCAGGATTAACAGTAACTAGGCACCTCTTGTTTCCCTGGCACAGTTCTCAACACTTTTTGATTTTTGTTTTCTTTTAAATTTATCACCGTGCCACCATGATGTTGACACTATTGTCCTTGTTTTACAGATAAATCCCAGGCCCAGACAGATTTGGTCATTTAGCTTTGGTCCCACAGCTAGAAAGTGGCCGTCAGGATTCGAATCTGTCTCCAAAGCCCTCTTCTAATTTTTTCCTTTTAGATCTTGCTCCCAGATACCTGGTAGGATTTTGGGAGCATTTTTTAGTCACACTCAGAATCTTAAGGAAAAACACCTCGCTGGCCCACTCTGAGACTAGGGTCTGAGATGGACAAATGGATGAACTTCAACTTTTTTTTTTTTGTACTGGGGATTAAAGCCAGGAGCCCTTTACCATTGAGCCACACCCCCAGCCCTTTTCTGTATTTAGAGACAGGTCTCACTAAGCTGCTTAGGGCCTCACTAAGTTGCAGAGGCTGGCTTTGAACTTACAATCCTCCTGCCTCAGCCTCCGGAGCCGATGGAATGACAGGTGTGACCACCGGCACCACAGCTCACAGCGTCCAGCTTGCTCCCACCTTATTAAGCCCAAGTATGAGGCATGTGGTCCTGTGACACTCTGTCCCTGCAAGGCTGGGGTCTCACCTGAGGGACAGGGAGCAGTCTTGGGCGCTGGTCTCACTGAGCCGCACGAGGTAGCTGCCTTCCTTGCAGAGTGACAGGAGGTTCTCGGCATCCAGGCGGCTCAGCGGTCCATGAAACCACCTGCAGGCGGGGGCAGGTGTCTCCTGAAGGCCACTGCCCTTTGACACCCTGGGGGAAGGTCAGGCCAGGCAGGTGCAAGGTCTTGTGACATCCCCCAAAACAAGCCAGGAAGTCCCCTTGGGAGGAGCTGGGGCTGGGGCCATTCAGCATGGGCACCTGACCCCCACCCCCTTCTCTTTTGTTGTGCTGAGGGTGGAGTTCAAGGGCATCAAGCACTGTATCTGAGCTACAGCCCAGCACCACGGATCTTAGAGCCTGCCTGGCGCCCTGCCTCAGCAGCCCCCCCTAGTCCCCAACTTCAGTCTCTCTCATCTGCTTTGCCACATCCTGTACCCTGCCCCCCACCGTTCTGCACTTAATATTTTTCATTAATTGTGCTAAAAAAAAAAAAAACTGAGCATGAGCCAGAGAGAGGAGCCCAGCTGCTGGTTTCTATCAAAGAAAACTAAGAGGCTCCTCTCACTCTGGGCCTCATGCTAGGTCACAGGCCCCACCCTCTGCAGAGGTTTGGGCCTGGGGGGGAGGGCAAGGCCTGGGCTCCGGGCCTGGAGAGCACCTGAGGAGCTCCCAGTGCTGGAGGGACACAGAAGACCCAGGGCCCCTCAGCTCAGGCCCCACACTTCTGCACAAAGTTCTGAGCGAACTGCTCCTCCCAGTTCCATTCCAAGATCTTCTGGGGCTGAGGATGATTCCTGTGTCCTTCGCAGGTTCAAAATCCCCTCCCAAGGACCCAAGTGCAGGGAGGAGATCCTACCCTGAGCCAGGCATCCAGGGGGTTTTGGACTTGGATGCTTAGAAGCTGAGGGTCTTGACTGGGGCCACATAGCAGGAGATGCAGAGCAGGGGTCTCAACCCCGAACCTGATTCCAAAGGGAAGGGGCTCTTATCTGCGGGAGCCTGTTCAGCAAGCAGTGTGTGGGGGGGACAGTGGTTAGCTGAAGAAATCAATGAAGTTAATAAATGAATGAACCCAAGTTCTTCCCAGTTCCAGGGTCCCAGGTGGGAAAACAAGAAAACTTCTCCTGCTGGTGCAGTGGGGCACACCTGTAATGCCAGCAACTCGCATCTCGGGAGGCCAGGCAGGAAGGTCGCAAGTTCGAGTCCTGCCTTCACAATTCAGCAAGACCCTGTCTTAGCATTTAAAGGGTGGGGGTGCATTGCGGGAGGGGGACCTGGAGGCGTAGCTCAGTGATAGAGCACCACTGGTTCAATCCCCAATACCGATAATACTAATAAATCAATTTTAAAAGGAAACGTGTGTTGAGTAAATCAGAGCCTGTTGATGGTTCCTTCAGCTCTCCCACTCACGGCTGTTTCTCCAGGGGCAGAGCAGGATCCACACGCTCTGCGGGCTGGGGGCTTCTGGGTGGGGGTCTCCGTAGCTCCTTGACTGAGCCTGGGGTCCTTTCCCACTCTGGACTGTCAAACTGCACTGGAAGGGGAGGGTTAGAGAAGAAAGAGTTAAATCCAGTCCACCTCAAGGGGGCGGGGCAGAGTCAAGCCAATGAAATTTCATTGGGGAGGCGGTGCCAGTTTGGATCACCTATCAGAGCTCACAAAAGGAGGAGCTAGGCTAAAGAATGGAAGGATTGACACAGGAGCAGCCAATTGGCTTTCAGAAGCGAGGGGCGTGGCAAATCATAAATCTGGGGCACGGAAGGGGCGGGGCAGCAGCAGGAGCATCAAATCCAGGAGCAGGTCGGATTACAGAGCACCTAGGGCTGAGTTCCCTTTGGGTTCTGTTCCAATTTGGACCAAGTCTTAAAACTAGAGACCATCCTCCATATAAATACAGTGGGTGGAAGCAATCAGTCCCAAACACCCTCCCAGTCATACAACTTTTGAGGCAAGGTCATGTGGGCACAAACCTTCCTGGCCTGAGTTCTTTTATTTAGCAGTAGTAGTAGTACTGGGGATTGAACGTCGTCGTCGTCGTTGTTGTTATTACTAATATTATTCTGTTTTACTTGACATAGGATCTCCCCAGTCTGCTGAGAATGGCCTTGAACTTGGGATTCTCCTGCCTCAGCCTCTTGAGTCCACACCCAGCCTGAGTTATTTATTTATTTTGGTACCAGGGATTGAAACCCACAGACACTTAACCACTGAGCCACCTCGCCAGCCCTTTTTATTTTTATTTTTTAGTTTTAGACACGGTCTAGCTAAGTTACTCAGGGCCTTGCTAGATTGCTGAGGCTGGCTTTGAGCTTGAGATCTTCCTGCTTCAGACTCCCAAACTGCTGGGATTACAGGCATGTGTTACCAGGCCCAGCCTGAGTTCTTTTATTTTTTAAAGCTGATCTTATTGTTACTATTTTTATAGAAGAGGAAACTGAGATTCAGAGACTCAGTCAAGTTCCCTCAATTCAGCTAGGGATTGACCCCAAGTCCTCCTGGCTGACACAACTAGATGATCCTGCCCTTCCCGTCTAACAGCTCTCCCGTCATTGGAACCTGGCCAGCATTCAGTTTACAAGAACTCTGCTCAGCAGGTACTATGATGACCTTTTATTTTGTGGGTAAGGAAACTTAGACTCAGTGACTTGTCCAAGGAAGTGACACAAACCCAGGTCTAGTGTTGACCAAAGCCCAGTTCCTTTCCCTGCACTATGCTGAGCAGAATGAGTTAGGTTTATTTCACAAGGCCTTTCAGTTGCCAAAGAATATGCAGGTTTTCCTGGGGGGAAGAATTTGTGACTATCAGCCATTCCCACTTTAGTGAGAATCAATGAATTACCTCAAGGCGGGTAATTGGGCTCTACTTTATAAATAGATGCAGAGAGGTGACTAGATGAAGAAATGGAGGATGAACCATTCAGAGGTCAGGGTTTGGTTCAGAGAAGCACCTGCAAATGCTCTGGAGATGTGGTCTTTCTTCCACTCCCAGGGCTGGTCATACTCATCGGCTGGACGTTCATCCTCTTGGGGTAACCGACTCTGTCGAGGCCTCTGATCAAAAGGGGGCCCGTCCCCCGGCTCTGGGTCCTGATCTTCATAGGGAGTATCATACAGCTGTACCACCGCGCCACAGGGCAGTTCTGGGAGGCCAAGGACACCGGTCAGCCCCCATCCCCTGGGGACTTGACACCTCCCCAGCCCTGCTCACTCACCGCTTATGACCCGCTGGGCGTCATAGGGCTCCATGTAGCCATCATCTGGGGGTGGCGGGTGAGGCTGGGCATCGAAGGGGTCTGAATACTCAGTGTCAACTTCCAGCTGGGAGCAGAAGAGAAAGGGAGAGAGCTAGGGAGACCAGCTGAGCTCCAGAGAGCCCAGCTGGGTGGTGTCAGGGATTCCAGCTGGTCCAGCTTACTATGACCCCCTGTACTAGATGCTCTGCATGTGTTTATCTGCAAGAGCAACACTCAGCAAGGACACAGGCCCCATCTTACAGGTGAGGAAACCAAAGCACAGAGAGGGCAAGTGACTTGGGCAGGTCACACATCTGGTGAGTGTGAGGCAGTTTGACCCCAGCCTTCTGATTTCCCTGCGTTCCCTCCTCCTATCTCCCTGTGCTCCCAACCACCACCCAAGAGAACTTTGGTGAGCCATAGTCTGCTGAGGCTAAAAACCATGTTGACCAGAAGGGTGGGCACTGCAGGCAGCTCTGGGTTAGGTTCCAATGTTAATGTGCCAGGCTTTGACCTTGGGCTGGAAAGTCACTTCTCTCCTGCCAGCCTTAGCTTCCACTTTTGTAAAATGGAAATCAAGTAGGAGGGGGCAGCATGGCTAGGGAACCCTGGCTGGCATCTGTCTTCTAAGCTGGGGCCAACGTCAAAGGAGGGGATTCTGGGGGCGCTGGTGTCTCCCGCCCCAGCAGGACGGTATCAGACTCTGCTGAGCAGGTGGGGGTGGAAGTGTCTGGTGCCCTGTCCACCTCTGGGATCGTGCATAAACCACGCTCCCTGGATCTGGGGAGCAGAGCAGGACCGTGGCACCCAGTGTCCCGCACCGCAGTCTGCGGAGCTGCCCAGGCACGCACCTCTTCCCCGGGGTTGTCCAGCAAGGCTTTGGCTCTGGCCATGTCTGCGGCCTCCACTTTGATGAGCCGGTGCTTGGGAGAGTCGAACTTGGAGTCTCCGGGGTCTGCAGGGTCTGGCTCTGGGCGGCTCTCGGAGTCCTCATAGGGGTCCTCAAAGTCCAGATTCTTCTGCACCCTGTAGGCCCTCAGGATGTCGCTCTCGGTGTAGTCCGGGGTGGGCGGCTGCGGAGGGGGTCTCCGACCGCCAAAGCTCAGGTAGTCCCGAAGCCACTTGGCCATTTGGGCTCGTGTCACCCCAAACCTGGCTGCTGTAAGAGAGGGACCCACATACCTGTTTGGGGTCCCTTCTCAGAGGGGAGGAGTGCAGGAGGGAAAGGAGAAGACGGAGGGGGAAGAGCTCAGGTGTGCCCTTCGGTTGGGCTCCACAGGGGCAAGGTGAAAAGGTGAGAGAGGGAGAGAGGGGGAGAAAGAGGAGGGAGGAGGAAGCCCACCTTCGCCCGGCTCTCCAACAACCACAGGGTAAGGGGCGCCCGGCAAGTCCCTGAACGCGGCGCGCGGGGTCCAAGGGCCGGGGCGAGGGGCATCCGCGGAAGCGCGCAGACTTTGCGCGGGCAGCGCACTCCGGTGTGCGGCGCCGCCTCCGCCGCCTGGGAGGCTCCGGGATCCTCGCTGGGGCTCCGAGGTCCGGGGAGCGCCGCCCGCGGACGCCCCCAGCCCTGCTCAGCCGGGACGCCGGGCTTCTCAGCGCAGCTGGCTGGCTCTCCTGGGGCGCGAGCGCCGCGCGCGAAGTTGCGCGGCGGGGACGGTGACCCTGGCAGGGTACATCCTTTGTTGCGCTCCGCTCCGCTCCGCGCTGGGGGGAGCCCTAATCCCAAGGCCCCCGGCCGGCTGCCTCCATCCGGCCCCAGCCACCGCACAAAGGGAAATAAAAACCTCCTGCAATCCGCGTTCAAGCTTTCGGGGACTTTACGCGCGACCGTGGGCGCGCGTGGCCGCGAGGTGGGACTTTGGGGAGGGGGCGCGCCCGCGGTCGCCCGGGTCCCTACCCGCCCCGGGCCGCGTCCCTGGAAGCAACGTCAAGGCTTCCCCTCCCCTGCGCTCCCCTCGGAGGTGACAGAGACCTTCCGCTGGTCCGGGGAGGGAGGGAGGGAGGGAGGGGAGCCGAGGCCGCCGAGGGAAGGGGGCTGGGGGCACAGGAGTCGCTGGGGCCGAGACCGCGGCAGCTGGACACTGACCCGGAGGCCCGAGATGCGCCGAGGCGGGAGAGGAGCGCGGCAGGTGGGCACGGCCTGGGGTGGACACAGCTCGCGGCCGGCGCGAGAGGACCCGGGAGGCAGAGCCGGGAGACTGGGGGCTGGACTTGACCGCCAGAAGGGACGAAATTGACCGGGAGATGGGATGAGAGTGACCGCTATTGAGGGTCGAAATTGAGCCGATGACCAGGCAGTGGAGGGGGTGGAACTGTCGGAGAGAGGTCAGTGGCTAAAATTGACACTGACGCTGTGGAGGGAAAGCGGGAGGTGGGAGCCGGAGGACTGGCCTCCCCTCCCCCAGAGTGCTGGCTCTCTCCCTCCCCAGGGGACCCCTTGCAGGCCGGGAAGGGTTGGGGCAGCTGGCCGGGAGGGGAGATGGTATCTGTGCCTGTCTGGTGGCCTCGCATCTGTCCCTTTGTGGCTTCTGGGGTGGGAGGCTGGAAGCGGGGAAGAAGTGAGGGGGGTCTGCCTGTCCTGGTGGTTGCAGCTGCCTGGGGGGAGGGCACCCAAGATGTGGGGGTCAGAGACCAGGGGGGGCCCTTTCCTCTCCTCAGGCGGGCTCTGCTGGGCTCCCCTTAGGAACTGGAGTGGGGGGTGTCAGGAAGAGCAGAGGCTCCGAGGAGCAGGGCCTGGAGGGAGTCACCTGCCCTACCTGTGAGCTGTGCCCTCCTAGGACACAGACCGGGCAGGGCCTTCCTAGTGCCTAGGTCTCCACTAACAGGATCCCAACAGGGAAACCCAGAGCCCAGGAAGGATTGCCAGAGGGGCGGTCACCACCCAGGACGCTCTCTTACCCAGGGGAAAGCCGAGGCATGGGGGGAGGTGGCTTGGCTCACAGCTACCCAGGGGCTCCTTTGTGCCCGGACACCATCCTGTGGCTGGCTTGGGTGGCACCAGTATCACCCTGTGGAATTAGCCGTTCCCCGTTCTCCCTCCCCTCTACTATTAGCCCCATTTTTCAGATGGGGAAAGGGTCCAGAGCCCACGGGGCCAAGACCCCATAGCAGCGGGGGTCTGCACACTTCCATATCTGCCCCTCGGAACCAGCTGTCCCCACAGCACCTGTTGAGCTCCCCCTCCCCCCTGCAGCTCACTTCCACAGTCCTCACCCCCCACCGTCCCTGATCAGCGACAGCAGTGTCCCCAGAGACCGCCTGGGAGCGTGGCGGGTAATTGTCCTGTTTTCTGTCAGCCGCAAGGCAATTCCCGGCTCCGGGATGAGCTGTTGACAGATCTCATCAAATCCGAGTCCCCTCTCCGTCTGATAAATAGGAGGCGTCTGAGGTATAAATATTTGAAAGGGTCCTTCTAATTACAGTCCGCGTCAGGAATAGCAATCAGAGGCCCCAGGCGGAATCAAGCGCCGTTTGACTTCCCTGCGCTTTTGAACTGGCTGCGGCCGGCGGCCCCCACCCCAGGAGAGGAGAGGGGAGGGTGGCGGGGACGGAGGGAGGGGGCAGCCAGGAAGGAAGCCAGGCTGGGGGTGGGCCAGCTCGCTGATGGCTGGGCTGTGTGACCTTGATGGGG